CATGTCGAGGAAGGGACAGGTTTGTTTTCCACAGCTCCAGACACTAGGACAAGGAGCAATGGTTTCAAACTATAGGAAAAGAGATTCCATCTGAATCTCAAGAAGAACTTCCTGACAATCAAAGCTGGTCGGCAGTGGAATAGGCTGCCTCAGAGTGTGTTGGATTTTCCTTCTTTGGAAGTTTTAAAGCCGAGGCTGGATGGCCATCTGTCTGGAGTGCTTTGATGGAGTTCCTGCATGGCAGGGGCATTGGACTCGATGGCCCCTGTGGTCTCTTCCAACTCTATGATTCTATAATCACCTGGCAGATATGCTTTGATTGTACTTGACGGCCTTGTAGGCCCCTTCCAACTTCACTTTTCTATGATTCTCTGAAAGACTAACTGATATATTTTAATGTGAGCTTTCGTGGATACAGTTCATTTCTTCAGACTTCTTTGGACTTCTAATTTTTTTTGGGGGGGTGGCTGCTTTAGAAGTATAACTGTAAGTATCAGTTTTAAAAAGTAATTTTCCAATCTCTGGTCAAAGATGACATAGATGGTGTTATCCACCAGTAACTACATGAGCCACTGAAAGTATATGGGAATAGGGAGAGAGAGAAAAAAGCTGCTGTTTGGAAAGCACAGTTTGAGATGATGGGGTCTGAAGGTCAGAACTGTGTGGTCTTCAGAAGTACTGAACAAGTACTCTAAAATGAGCACCATCTGTGCTTTCTGGACTGCAGTATTTGTAAGCAAACACTCCACCATCTATTCCCGATTGCCTCATTATCCACTTATTCCAAAATGAGACCAGGAAAGGAGACAGGTGCAGCTCTACCATGGCATGCATACCTCCCTGTAGACTGCTGCGATTTTTCTTCCCCTCATTAACTGACAGGGAGGGTAGAAGGATGGAGAGGCTCTTCGGTGCCTTGGATGACCTACTAGCTGCTGTATTTGGTCTTCTCTGCTAGGGCAGCTTCCTGGCTGCCTTTCAACTGTCACAGGAACATGTGACATCTCGCCAGCATGTTTTACTTGGGAAGCAGAACACTGAGGGTTTATGTGGTAGCACTCTTCCAAGACCTGAGGACCTGCCTTATAGAAAAAGGAAAGACTTGTCCTTTTCTCCCCCCACCCCCACCCCCGCCACCCCGAGGCAGGATGGATCTAAATGGCTTGGGGAAACTCTCAACAAAGAGGATATTTTGACAATGAAACCAGTTACCTCCACGGGCGTTGAGAATCAATTGTTGGAGGTCTTCAATGAGAAGTTGGTCATCCATATTTTGATGAAGCTTTTAACTGCCTGAATAAAGTAGGTGGTTGAACCAAATTACCTTGCAAGTGACCCTCCAATTCTATTCCCATAAATCAGTCCTCCTCACAATGTGGTTCCCTCCAAGTGTATTGGCCTGTCACTTTGATAAGCCTCGGGTAACATGAGCAATAATCAAGGACAATGGGAATTACAGTCTAGGACACATGGATCTAACTCTCCTAATAGGTTTTCTTCCCTCTTACATGAGTTTTTGTACCTTAAGAAAATAGGAAGCTGTCTTAAACCATGGCAGGCCATTGGTCCAACTTGCTAATTACTGCTGAAAACAAACATGACAAATCCTTGGTTTGACTTTGTTTTGGACTTCAACTCCCATAATTCCTTTCCACTGGCCATAATGGCTGGGGATTGTGGGAGGTGAAGTCCAAAATGCCCCCCCAACTCTAGCCTATCCTTCCTGGCAATGGCAATTTATGAATCCAGATAGGATTCTTTCCTAGACCTGGACTACAGAAGCTGGGGATTGAACCCTTGGCAGCCATGGCTCTTCTGCTCTGTAGTGAATCACACTACAGTCAACCCGTTCCGGAAGGAAGTTTGTAAGTCGAAAAGTTCGTAAGTCAAATCAGCATTTCCCATAGGAATGCATTGAAAACCAATTAATCTGTTCCGGCTGTTTTTTGGTTTTTAGGTCAAGGGGCGGTTTGTAACTTGAATCATTAGTTTCCATAGGAACTACTGCAATGCAAAGCCAGTTATTCCGTTCCTACTGCTAGGGGAAGAATTTTTTTCTTTTCCCCCCCTTTTAACCTAAGATGACTTAAGTTAAAAAAAGAGGAAAGAAAAGAGAGAGGGAAGGAGGGAACAGACACCTTTTCAACAGATCCCCTTGAAAAGCACCTTTTCAATCAAAACAAGCCAGTACAAGCACTTTTTGGGGAAAGGGGGGCAGTAAAGGAGGGAGGGAACACCTTTTAAAAATCCAAAAATCAAAAATTTAAAAAAGCCAAAAAATAAAAATACAGTCCGTACAGCGCTGTACCAGGCAATACCAGGCAGTCTGGAGACTGTCTCCAAATCCACTCTCAAAATGCTGGGAAGAGCGAGGATGAAGACAGGCACCCTCTTCACTGGCCAGCGGTTAACCGTGTGTTTTTTCAGTTTGTAACTCGAATCTAAGTTTGCAAGTTGAGTCAATATTTTTCTATCAGAGCGGTTTGTAAGTCGAAATGTTTGTAACTAGGGCCGTTTGTAAGTCGAGGGTTGCCTCTATTTCCCTACTGACCCCAATACTTCTCTTCTGACTGGTAGCTACCTAAGATCCATTTAGCTGGCAATGTTATCCTCCTGCTTGAGATGAGTTCTTTCCCCTTCTCCTCTCAAACAAGAAGTGTCTTTCTTTCACGACTCTGTCTACCCTTTTCTCGCCTTCGCCTTCTAAAGGGACAACAGGAATAGAATCCTTGATCCAGACCTCAGGGCACCTTTGGGTACAGTTTAAATCAATTTACAACAAACAAGAATAATGTTCCTTCTTGCCAACAAATTCCCTACTCAGAACAAAGAGAAGCTTCTACTCGGGAGCATGGCTAATAGCTAAATGCATCTTATGACAGTTCTAAACAACTCCCATGACTTGCATATCATTTTCTTTGACCTTTCCTTAAAGATTAGCCATTAACTAGTTGGCAGTTGGTTTCTATCAAGCCCATCTGGAATACATGAACAGATTTTCTAAAACAATCTCCCAAACAATTGAGGATTTGTTTTATTTCTCTGATACTTATCATACCTGTGCTGTTCTCTGATGAACTGCAGAGTCACTGAGTGGCTGATGGCTTTACATCAGGCTGTTTTTCCCCCTCTCCCATTTAGCTTTGCTTGGTTTACTGTGTCTGACAGTTGCTTCCTGGAGGGTTTTCTCATTAAGGCCTCTTAGAATCAAGGAGATAGAATTCCAGGGACTGCACCTGGAACCATCACATGCGAAACATATGCTATGCTAACCTATAACTCCTGGATAAAATGGTTTTCCCATTTTAGCAATCTAAGATTTTTTTGACTGGACATGCCCAGTACAGGCATGTCCAGCCAGGCGCTTGCTCTACCATTTAGTTGAGCTTTCTCTCAAACACATGAAACTGCCATAATAACAAATGAGACTATCGGTTAATCCAGCCTAGTATCACTTATTTTCACTGGCAGTGGCTTTCACAGAGTTTCAGGAGGAGATATTTATTATTACCAGCGAACTCCTAGGTATATAGGGACGTGGTGGCGCTGCGGGTTAAACCGCAGAAGCCTCTGTGCTCCAAGGTCAGAAGACCAGCCGTCGTAAGATCGAATCCATGCGACGGAGTGAGCTCCCGTCGCTTGTCCCATCTCCCACCAACCTAGCGGTTCGAAAGCATGTAAAATGCGAGTAGATAAATAGGGACCACCTCGGTGGGAAGGTAATAGCGTTCCATGTCTAGTCGCGCTGGCCAAGTGACCACGGAAACTATTTTCAGACACTCACTCTATATGGCTTGGAAACAGGGATGAGCACCATCCTCTAGAGTCAGACATGACTGGACTAAACATCAAGGGGAACCTTTTCCTTTACCAACTCCTAGGTGTGGAGTGTGTCCCTATAAATATTTAGGAGTACAGCTCTTGCAGGCCCTTAATATTGGCAGTGCTGGATGGGTCTGATATGAATTGTAGGTCTAGATGTTTGAATACAGGCTGTGTGATCCCTTTAAGTGGAGATGCTGAGCACTGAACCTGGGATATTCAACACACAAAGTGTGGCATCTACTACTGTGCTACAGTCCATCCCCAATTAAAATGCTTCTTCTGGTTAACACAGTTGTTGTGGGAAATTGCCTTGCATAAGGCAGAGCTCTCTACTATCTCAGACACAGTTTCCCCCCCATTTGTTTAACCTAGAATGGTGAATATGTGGCTCTTCAAATGTCATTGGATTACAACTCCCATCACCTCTCACTACTAACTATGTCAGCTAGTGTTAATGGGTTTGCAATCCAGCAGCCTCTGGAAACCTATGTATTTTCCACTCTTGTTTCATCAAGAGATTTTAGGGACTGAACTTGATGGAACATCGGACCATACTCTATCCCCACATCCTGTTTTGTATATGGCTGCTGCATTCTTAGCTGCATCAGGTTGGCCTGCATCAAAAACAGAATGCTGGGCTATATACATGTTCATCTACAACCAGAAAAGACCCTTCTGACACCCCGTCTTTTACAGTGGTGCAGAAAACACAGAAACAATTTAGAAAGGCTTGGTCCCTACCTGATAGGATAGTCAGCAGCACTGAGGTTAATGAAGAAATCCCATGGCCAGTCCTTCATCTCCATGAGATCACGCATGCTTTGAAGGTAAGTAGACAACAGGCTTGCTCCTCCCCAGATTGTGGCCATGCGCCAAGAGGTGACTCGCACATTTGGGTATTGGCTCACAAGCTGGATGACATGCCGGTAGAGATAATTGGAACGCTTTGTGGGAATGAAAAAAGAAGAAGAAAGGTTCAGTGGAAGACCTTGACCCATGGGTGTGTATAAGCTGATAGCTGCGTTTCCATCCTTAAGTGCATTCCAAAGTTCCTAATGCACATGGAACCATAAAAAAAGAGAGAAGGGAACATGTACAGTATATTGAAAAACATGCACTGCCTAGCTAAAGAGAAAACAGCAAAATCCCGTTCGTGTTCCAAAGAAAACATGCACACTGTACCAGAGAGATAAATGGTTATTTTTTGGACGACACCTCCCAGGATTCTTCAGCAAGAATTTCCACTGACCAGGGCAATATGGATATTGTAGTCTGAGAAAGTAAATTATTTAATCTACATGTATCACCAGCTGGCAATCTGGTATCCAACAGTTATAAGCTTCTCCCCCAAGAAACCCTCAACATTCCCAATGCCAGCTGGAACCAATAGGAAGTATAGTCTAAAATATCTGGCGGGCACCAGGTTGCCTACCCTGCCTTTCACACCGATCATAAAGTACATTCCCTGAAATTTAACAGAGCTTCCTTCCAGGTAGTCCTACAAAGTTCAGTGGGACTTATTCCAAGGCAAGTGAGTTCATGCTATCAATGGATCTACTCAAAGCATAACCAAAGAAGCCAGTATGTTTAGGACTGCAGTCTAAGTCTGCCTACACTGTGTGGAGGTATTTATTTACTCTGTGTGGGTGGAGAAGGGGGGAAGCCACCCAAACAAATGTCAACAATTTTCAATAGCTAGAACACCACAGATTTCTTGACATATCTTAAAACTCATGCACAAACATTGGAGACTCTGAGTCATGTCTTGAAAATGGTCTTCTCAATAGGTTGAAAAGGAGTGGTTGGTCTGAAATCAAGCAGAGCTACTGAAGCCCTTCTTGATTCCTGTGAGCAATTCAGGACGGGCAGTAGAGCTGTCCTGAGACCTTAGTCTGGCAGTCTAATTTTACTGCAATGTTGACAATGAACAACATCCTCTATTTAGAGTGTGCTTGTGAATTCCACTACCTCAGAGGTCCCCAGAAATGGATTATGCCTCAGTGGTGGAGGTCTGAAATAGACAAGCTACATGTTCTTCCTATAAGAGAAAGTCTCTGGTATACTCTCTTACTTCAAACCACCTCCTGTCCTTCTACAGTGTTGCCTGCCTCCATTAATAACAAAGAATGGTGGGCTGAAGATAAAAAAAAAAGAACAGTCTGGAATTCTGGTACTAAGCACAGCTTCATCTGTACCAGTTCACTGCACTAAACAATGGAAATGGGAAAATAAAAAGATGACATCTCTGGTACATAGCAGAGATTTTAGAAAAGGAAATGGGCAGACCAAGCAGAGATGGGCAAACAGACAAATGGTGACCAGCAGTTTATAATTTGCAATTTATTACCTTGTCGACATGAATGTAATAAAAATGGTCCTTGTGGTAAATAGCCTTAAACATGCGCATCAGCTGCCGAGACGCCCTTCCATGAACCACCAAGACGAATGCAATCCTGACTGGATTGGTGGGCATGTATTCTACAGAGTCCTCATCCCACTGGACATTGTTGTTGGCTTTGCCTGTTTGAAAAAAAAAATAAAACATGCTCAAGTCATCCTGAAAGTGCTTAGGTAGGATGGGTACTCTAGGGAATCATTTAGATTACATTTCAGTAAGTAAATGTCTTCATCTCCCTGGGAATGGCTGGGGATGCCACAGTTTCAAGGGTAGTGAATCCACTCTGGGTTTTACTCTGAACTTTACAAGAGCAATCCAAGGCAGTGAACCCTGTGTCCAAAATAAGTTAAAGAAATAACACTCTCATTCAAAGAAATTCACTCTCATTTTCTTTGAAGGCAGTCTATTGGTTGTGATGGGGATCAATTTTCTGGATTATAATCTCATTTAATGCTTTTGTTTTTGTCTTTTTTGTTCTGTTTCGTTTTGTTGGATTTAATCTCATTTAAATTTCCAGTTTAGGACCATAAACTGCTTAAGGAAACTACAGTACCTTTCCATAAATCAACTATAAGTGTTTAATAATGGAGTAAAGCTACTTGTCTGAAAAGCCTTTCCTTTCTTTCAGTCCCCTACTCTGTGCTATCTCTGAATGGCAAACAAGAACCTAACTAACTGGCTTGTGGGGCCCAGCTGATTTTTTTTTCAAAATTAGAATCTCCAAATCCATCTATCAAAGCCAGATTCAAAGGTCAGATACTGAGAATCAAAGAATTACGAGCACAGGAGCTTGGTATGTGCACTAGAATTGGCGGAAGTAGCATCCTTTACTCTCTCTCTCTCTTTTCTGGCTGCCAGAAGTGCTCAGAAATATCTTTTTTTCCAAGGGACACACATTTTTTGTAGCTGCTATTATCGAAGGGTTGAGACGGAAATCCTTCCTTATCTACTGCAAATCACCAACAACCTACTAGTAGATCTAGTAAATGTAGATTCCGTTTACATCTGATATATGTGAACTTTCATCGCAAGCTTTCCAAAGTGCTGCCTTTTGACGTGCTGATGTGAGGTGTGCACAAGGCGAAAAAGAGGGCAGTTAAACAAAATACAGTACCTGGTTTGGCCATTTTAAATCCCAAGGAGATGTGATTTAAGACAGTCTGCAGCCATAATTGCACTTTGCATAGTTCTGGCATACAAGAAAGATGTATTGGCATCCCCTTTCTAAATTCGCATATATCCTTTTTGCTATTTTTGGTTTTGCTGTGGATTTTCAGATCTAACCCTTGAACCAAAATAACTCCAACATGATTGTTAGAATCCTATTGGCAATTTATACTTTTCTAAGGGAAATCATGAAGTCTTAGCAGCAAACTGCCACTCATGAACAACTTGCTGTTTGCTTCCAAGCTCCATGCAACAGTGCCTCACTGATGAACAGTGACATGACCAGTGATGCTATAACAGAGTTGAAGCAGTGTGGGATATGTAGTCAGAGAAATGTAAGACGGAGTCTGACAGGTTCTGTGTGGAGATGATGTGAGAGACATTGGAATGTGTTTTTCTAAGTGCTATGAGAGTGTTTTTCTGAAGACCAGTAGTACAATGTGGTTCGAGATAAAGCTGAAGGTCGGACAAAGAGGCCCATGGAAGACGCAACATCCCAAGGTGATTGGAGAAGAGATAAAACACCTGGACTTTCATGCGAATTGAGAGTGGAGGAAGGGGTCACAGCCCCTTGAGGCTAATTGGTTAACAGCCATGAAGTGTCAAGAAGAAGAGAGGAGTTAGAGAATGTAGAAAATGGATGATGGGTTGTGTGGGAGAAGTTCGATTCCATGATGGTAGGAAAGAAAAAGAACTTGATGGTTTGAGCATATGGCCTGAAGGACAGAGAATGTAAGCAAAGAGAAAGAAGGAGGTGGGGCTAGCCCAGCTTAGCCCACCTTAGTAGTGTTTTTATTTTATTTTAGTGGGGATTAGTTATTTTATTTAACTGCAATAATCTTTGAATATGTTCTTTATGCTAAAGCTTGAGCAATATAAATTGATTCTATGAAAATCTATTTTTCTAATAAAAATAATTATAAAAATTCTTACCAAAGGACTGGTCTCCTGAACAGCAGTGTCTGGCTAAATCCAGGGAGTGGAGAGGCCTGCCTAACTGAGATGTTGTGAGTTCTAAGGGATCACAAAGCTCATGTGTCTGTACTTGCAAAGTACTGGGTCAAGTGTTCTTTTAAGGTCAGACCTGTTCAAAGGGCTTACGCTACGCACTACTGAGGTCTTAGGACTTGCCTCCGTGCAAAGGTGGTAGATAAGCGGCCTGTGGAACTCTCTGACCGAGTACTAAGCACTCCTTAGGGAGGCTTGGGCACCACAGAGGCTACCAACACTCTTACGTCTGGGAATTTGCCACTAAGATTTACATTATTTCACATCTGCAAGTGTAAGGTGCCAACAGGTTTCTTCTGGCTAATGGCCACCAAGGCAATTGGAAAGTTGGGCTCTCCATGCATAAAACTGGGGAGGGAAGAGTCATTATACTGCAAGAGCTGCCCTCTTCCCCCAAGGATCGGACCAGCCCTAAATAATAACAATGTTCTGAAGGAACTTTGAAAGTGTATGGAAACTACCCCTTGACTTTTTTTTGTAATGAGTCATCTTAAAAAAACACCAACAAGATAAACTGGAATGGAAGTAATAAATGCTTATTTACAGACTCGGCTTCTTCAATTTATCTTACTCATCTTTTCCCAGGGCAACACCAATAAACACAAGAATTACAGAGATTACCAATTCCAAATTACATATATACTGTATTATAAAAGAAAAACTGCTGTTATAAATAGTTCGTAAGTAACATGACCGCGTGGGAGAAAATATATTTATTTGATCAGGTAGTACCATGAGCTACAGCACGCTAAACATGTGGTTACACCTACAGGGTTAAACACTGCATTGCTACTGACCAGGCTACCATAATGTCACAGAGAAATTAAAATATATTATAACCGAGAAATGGCAATCAGTTATGGTGCATATATTTCTAGTGGGCATATTGGCCACCCCATGATTCTTTGTCCCTAATTTATAGCCTGCTTCTCCATCTTAGCATTTGGCTTGTTTTGCAGTTCTGACTTTCTCTTCGGTCTTCACTTCAGACTAGATTCTCTTTCTTGTAAGAGCTAAATAACTGTTTAAAGATCTGTGAAGTCAGGACCCTATTGCCCTATATACTGTGTCAGGATAATCATGCAAGCCATTTTGCCTTGTTAGGAGGCTATCTGTCACACTGCCACATCAGTTAAAAGAGGAAGCTAAAGTGTGCCTACTTTGGCTACATCGTGAGAAGGCAGGGTTCTCTGGAAAAGACAACATTGCTGGGAAAGGTTGGAGGCAGCAGGAAAAGAGGAAGACCCAATATGAGATGGATTGGCTCCCTAAAGGAAGCCACAGGCGTGAGCTTGCTAGAGCTGAGCAGGGCTGTTGAGGACAGGACATTCTGGAGATTGCACATTCATAGGATCGCCCTGAGTTGAAGGTGAGCTGATGGCAGGTAGCACGAGCAAAGGTGTGCCTGGCTGCGGGTCTGGCAGAGCAGCAAATGGCAAGCCAAAGGGAAAAGCGCTTGTCTGATTGCACTTACAGGCATATCTTATCCCAACAGGTTTTTTGCCTGACAGTCTAAATGTTATCTATGGTTTGGCCCTTGGTGTTAGAGTCTTATACCATTAAGGTTGTTGACTCTAAGACAAGGACTCGGAGGCAGAACACCTTTGGCTTCTGCTGCTTCAGAACCCTTCCTCCTGGTGGTCCCTCCGAGCTCTGTAGGAATCTGCTCTGGAGAAGTGGAGAATTCCGGGTCAAGGTTTTCAAGTCACAGTAGACTGCAGGAAGACAGAAATATGTCTAATTCTGCTTGGCATAGCTCAGGCTTAGCTTAAATGGTTTTTAAAAAACCACCAACAACAAAAACAGCAGCATTAACAACAACATCCCATATGCAAATTAACCACAAAGAAGGACACTTCAGTATACTGGAAGATGTAACTTGATTATAGATGGATATGTTTTTAATATAACCTCTGGCTGAGGTTTTATTTATATTAAGGATACATGATGTTATTAACTGGAAAGAAGGGTTGTTTTATCATGTTTTAATGGAATTTTATTACCCTGACTGATCTTACCAAGCCATAATTATATGTATCAGTTTTATATTGATTTGGTTTTACTGGTCTTTGACCATAATAAAGTATTGATTGATTGATTGATTGATTGATTATAAGCAGTGAGAAGCATTAGAAAGTTGACCCTGGAAATTGTAGTTCCAGAAATCTACCAGCAACAGGAGCAGGAGCAGGAAAACTGAGGTGGTCATCTCAGGAGAGACCCATTGTTGGTTGTGTGTTGCCTTTGAGTATGGCAGGAAGATGCTGTTCCACTGGCAGCACTGGAGAAAGATGTAACTACCAGTCTGCTTGGAACAGGGCGGGCACGCCTTCTTGCCCTTCGCTTCAGACAGCTAAATGTTATGCGCTGTATGCCTGACTGACATACAACAGAACAATACAACTGCCATGTCAGTACTCTGCAACTGGCGATACTGTGCTATAACAGTGTTGAATACCCTCTTTTCTTGGCACTTCTTTCCTACTGCAAAAAGACCTAAGAACAGCCTGGAAGTTTCCTGGGGTGAATATTAAATAACATGTAAACTGTGTTCCTGGTTTTCTTTCTGCTTATGAACACTACAGGGGCCTATTATCTAGAAAAAGATGCCTTCTGGTTTTCAACAATGACTGTCAGGTTAATTTCAGTTTGATGTAATGCGTGGAAGTAAATCACATTTTAAAAAATGGTACAAGGGAAAAAAGTCAATCATCAGAATGCATTTTAATTCCCAAACTGTTCAGAGAACAGGGAAACAGTAATACAGCCAAACAATGGCTGGTAAGGCCCAGCAGGTTCACAATGACTTTTAATAGCTTTTAATTTAGTAATATATGGAAGCTGAAACAGCAGAGTGGGAACCCTAACTGCTAACCCTGGTCTATTCTTTAGTTTCTGGGATGTATAAAACAGCACCTGCTTTGGTTGATCCTGGCCGACACCTGTT